AATAATCCAATTAATATTTGTATCAACGATTGCGATGAAATGATTGTGGTTCGAAATTTTATAATACTTTATCTACTTGCAAGGCTTGGAAAGAATGCTATTGATATTACTATTCATATTTGGTACTCAATGATAGTTACTGGACAACAATGGGATAAATGTATTGAAATATTTATTAAACTGCTTCATGGTAAACTGGATTTACAAACGAGGAAAGATTTTTTATTTGAGTTTGGCAAACTTAGGATTTATACGCATTTTAGTCCTAAGACGTGGGATTGCCTTGCAGGAATGCTTCTAAATAGGGTTGATTTACAAACAGGCATGATAATGCGCAACAAAACTATGTTCAATTCAAAATGTAAAGATTATCAACACCGATATATGCAGCTTCTCACTCCAGGAGAACGAATTTGTTTTGATCATTTTCATCGTATTGGACTTCTTCTCCCATATTGGGTGGTGAATGCTCGGCATAACACACAAAATAAGTTCATCTTAGATCAAAATTATGGCTGGGTAATGACTGACAGTTCAGATCCACTTTCAGGATGGGATATACTTAGTGTTGACCAAGTTAATCATGGAGCAGCAAATGATGACCTTTATGGAAAACTCTTCTTTTACCTCCGTGAACAATTTGGAATGTTCATTGATCGACTGCAAAAATTGACAATTAATTTTAATTTGTACGATGAAGATGCACTCAAACTTTGTAAAAAATTCAAAAACAAACGGTTTGATAGGATTTATGTGAATAATCTTAGTGACGAATCATATATTGGAATTAAAACTACGTTAACCGAATTCCGGCCACTTCTAAATGTCAATAATCCAAATGCAACTCTAATTACGCTTTTTAAGGATTGGTTGAATTCTATTCCAGAATCTGATCAAGGTAAAACAATGGAAGGCGTTATCTATAAAAAGATTGATAAATATAAACGTGGATGGGCTCATAATTCTTCATTACTTAATGCTAATAATGTAATGACTAAAATTTCTAATTTCATCATTGAAGCTTCTAATGAAGTTAATGCATTATACGATCATGCTCAAGAATTTGAAAAATATATGGAAAAGAAGGGCGCGAATGAAACTGCGAAACAAGTCGGATTACGTCGTCGAACGATTCATAAAATTGTGCCTAAGAGAGTTGGTGTCAGTATGAAAGAAGATGAACAAAACAATGTGCTATCGCTTGAAGATGATAGAGATAGACATTTACGGTTTGATGTTGGAATGCAAACATTTTTAGAACGTTATGCTGAGTGGGAGATTGTGGCTTAACGCTATGCTGAGTGAGAGATTGTAGCTTAACCTTTTATTGCTTCATTTGCTGTCATGTAATTAAAGATTTCTTAAAAAATTGCGCAATTACCAAAACTAAAATTGATAAAGCTTGAATTGAGATTTATAATTCATATTTGAATATTAGTAAAAGCTGTTTGCTTTTCTTTTTTTTTTTTTTTTTTTTATTTGCATACTTTACATGATTGATACATTATTTGTAAAACTAAAACAAAAATATGTCGCCTAATCTAATCAGACGATATCTTTGTTTAAATTCTTTAAAAATCAATAAGTTAAAACTTTAAGACATTGAAAGATATCTTGACAATTTTCTAACCAAACTCGATAAAAACATTTTTATTTGAATTTTGTAATTTATATTGATAAATAACCCATTTTTTTTTAGTAGGCAACCAATCAATACAAAAATCTGCCATGACAATTTTAGAGAAATTCTTAACCTAACCTAAGTTTTATTCATCCAAAATATTCACTATCTGAAAATAAATAAAAAAGGACTTAAATCTATAATACATATAATAAAGCCAATTAGTAGTGCAACATATTCAATATTTTAAATTTTTGATTTTTTTTTTTATAACATGTAGAGTTTTTAAATGTAAATGTTTATATAATTTAATAATTAATGTTCGTCTGTCACACTAATAAAGTGTTAAACATTGAAATTCTTTTTATCCATATATTAATGATATTATACTTGAAATCCATTAATAATACGCCTGAATTGCTCCATCTCAGTCTTATTAATTTCAATTCTTTTGAAATGATTACTTGAAAGTGAACATTGACCAACTAAGAAAAATAAGTTCGCACCAAATATCCAAACTAAGAAAGAATAATGTTTGCTATAGTTGAATGACGCTGGGTAAATTCTTGTTTTTCATACCAAGCTCTTGCATACAAATTATAAATTTGTCCTCGAAAATGGAAAAAATAGCAAATGCTGTCAAAATAATAAAAGACATGAAAATACAGAGATTAAAAAGAAATGAATGACTAATGTAGTTTGTATATACTTAACTAATTTCTTTATGAAATATACTTCTTCATGAAAAACGATTTCATAGATTTCATATATTGTTTTCTTGAATCCTTTTACTCATTGAAGTTTGTCTACTCTTCTTACTTTTTTATCTATTGCAAACATTTCTCTATATAGGTTTTGATTCGTAATTATTATTCTTAGCTCATCATTATTCCATAACTAACTCTTAGTTATATTATAATTATTTTCTTTTGCAATTTCTATTCACTCTTTTTTGCGATACTCTGTTATCCACTTCCATATATATTTCTTTTACAATCAATAGGATCATTTATTTTCATTAAAATAGTTTTCATTGGTTCTTTACTTTGATTTTTAATTTTCTTTCATATTTCACGCCCCATTTTGAATTGTTTTCATAATAAGTAGGATCATCTAATTTTATTATCTTTGTATATTTCTATTCCTTCTTTACCTTGTTTTTCAATTTCTTTCAAGATTTATTTCTTCTCTTTTTATTTTCAATGTCAGTTTGCTTTCTAATTGTTACTTTATTTTCAATATATTATTTATATAATTTATCCAATGTATCAAATTTTTTTCACTAAGAATATTTCTAAGAGATAATACGCATGTTAATAGAGTTACAATACTTCCTGTTCCAAAAACTGAAGTCGAAATAGAATCTCTAATTTTTGAATCCATGGCTTTCGTTTCTAAGATTAAAAGCAAAATACCAATTGCAAGTGATAAAAGATTAACAATAATAGAAATAATTAGCTGAAAGTTGAATAGAGATCTCTAATCTTCAAAGATTTTTAATCTTTTCTTTAGTTTAACAGTAAAATACATTTCTTATTTTGATAATCATTAATAGATGATTTACATTGAGGAGTAATATCTTCATTCGAAGGCTGACTATTATCAGATTTGATGTTTGACATTTTTTTTATAATTTATTCGTAAGTATAATGAAAATCAATTATGAAAAATCACTGTAATAATAAAGTTAAGCAGTTTTATAATTTATTGGATTTGATTAATCTCCCAAAATTTTCCGGAACTAAAAAAATTATTAATCAATATTGATTGAATAGAGTCTGTTTGGATTCAGTATTATGTGTAAAATTGCACTCAAGACATAGTTTGTCAACGTGTCAAGATAGGTTTATATTGCCATTTTTTATATATATTTCTTTTTAGTCATTTCTGGAAATTTTGCATGATATTTCACTACAATGTATAATACCGTACGTACCTCAATCTCCATGTTAAGGTGATGCATAAACTAGTAGCTTATTGAAAATAAATTATAATTACTGTATTATTTCTATGCCCATCACTCTATATGAGATTGATATTTAAGAAAAATGCACCTAATGACCATATATATTGTTTTGATTTACAGATCTGTGTAACAAAGTAAATTTTGATTACTTTAGGGTTAGATTAAGGCCTGGGATTTTATTGATGCATCAGTATATGGAAAATTAAGCAAGGAATTTTTTTTGTTAGAGCCCCAAAGGTGATTTTATAAGCAAAAATTTGAGATATTTACATTTTTAAAAAAATAAACAAAAACCAAAATTTATGTTATACCTGATCTTAAATTTGATTGACTATTCTTTGTAGTAAACCGAAAATAATACGCCAAGAATAATATATTTAATTGGAGCTCTTTTTCCTATCATTTTACACTTCCAGACTGTTCTGGCTTTGAATCGATTTCAGTCCGTACTAAATTTGGTGAATGTATCGTGCCTCAGACTTCAGCTGGCCTAAATTAGGGTTATTGTTAGGGTAAAGTTAGATTCAATGCTGATCAATTAATGCTGACCAATGTTACGAAATTTTTTTTAAATTTTCTTTTGTCATAATTTTCTGGTTATATTTATTCGTCAGTGCAGTGGCGTAAGATTGTACACAGGTTCGAAATTCATTCGTATGATTGGCTGATGTAAATCAATTGACTGGGTAACTTATTTTACAGTTTAAAGTAATTTTCGAGAACGTAATGTTTTACTAACAAAAATCACCATAAAACCATTTCTAACTTTAAAAGAACGTCTATATTCATTGCGCGAAAATAATCGAAAATATTTCAGTAATCCCACTTAGGAGCGAAGATTTCATTACTTATTACTATTGGTCGTATACAAGTACTGGTTGCAAAAAAATAGTTGAATAGAAAGAACGATCAAGGTGTTTAAAGCAAGTTAGTTTTAAGAAAAACCTCTTACATACAGTTAATTTATTATATTTAAGTTAAATTGTTTTCTTCAATAAATCTTAATACATATATTACTTTAGGCCAGACCAATTCAATTTGTTGGTTTACATTGGAATATACATAGGGTTGAAAATTACATTTTACAATCTTACAATTTATGTAAGTTTTTTTTTTTTAGATGCCGATAATTTTTATTTAACCCGGTATTCGAAAATTTATTATGCATTTTTTAATACTTGACTTGGCAAAATTTGCCACCAATTAAGTACGCATTCAAAAAGAACACCCAATAACTTTGTCATAGATCCAATTCTTATCATCAACAAATTATTATTTAATTCCTTATACTAAAAAGTTTTAAAAAAATATATGTCTATATTAGAAGCCAAAAACAATTACAAATGCTTGCTTTTAAATCTTGCTATTTCGCTGATTATTAAAAATTTTAATGAATCAATTGCAATTTTTATTTTGATTGATTATAATAAATGTGTACCTAGCTAATCTCATCGAGAATAACATTTGAGAAAACTTTGATTACATCATAATTAATTTGCATATTCGAATTGTCAATAAAACATTCTATATAAACTAGCTTTCTTGCACGTCCCTGCGGACGTGCAATAGCCTCCAAATTAAGGAACAGAGAGATATTTACAAAATTCCATTGATAAATAATTCTTATACTAACGAATTAAACTAATTTAATAAGAAACTTTATGAGAAGATATTATTGATGAAATTGGCATGAACAAAAAATTAGTAAGATGAATATACAGTACACGAATTGTTGTAATCTAATTATAAAAGCTCGCTATGCTCCATTAACCAACAATTTTATTTAAATTCATTGGGTAATATTTCATTTATACGCACATTAAACTATCACATTCCTAAAAAATTACAAATAATTTTATCTTGTCTAAAAATCAATTCCAAAGGTGATTAGCAATTAACAGAAATGTGTCCATATAGTACCACTGGAACATATCTTTCTACATCTTTTTTAAAATTATTATCCAAATCCAAATCCAAGCCTACGCCTACGAAATTTAAAGTTCTGTTTCGTACGCAGAATTCGATTAGTGCCTTAGCTTTTTTCTCGTTATCAAGTCTATTAATTAGCAACTTCTTTAAAGGTGCATAGCAATTACCCAGTAAAACATCAATATACATATTTAAACAAGAACACTTTATGTCAAGATATTGCAATGTTAACGGTAATGCTTCTGCAAACTTTAGAACTTGTTCGCCTTCTGGTGTAATGCTATCAGTACACCATTCACACCTCAAAATGAGAAATTGAAGTTTTTGTAAATTGCAAATAAGATCTAGGAGTTGTGAGGAAAAATTGATAAAGAAAATTTCGAGATATATAATGTTTGGACAGAAGGACTTAAGTGTTTCTAGTAATAACGATTGTTCTAAAATCGGTCCACAATTTGATTCAAGTTTTAGTCGTTGTAGTAATGTGCCGCATTTTTCTAAAATTAATACCACTTTTGAAGCATCAAGTAGGTCATCAACTATCTCTAAAGTGCTAATTTTATAATCAAACAATGTTAATAGTTTTGCATAATCACAATAACTGATACGAAGAATTTCTAAATTTTTACAATTCATCAATATATCGAACTCTTCATTACAAACACAATTTTCTATTATAAGTTCCCGTAATGATTGTTTTTGACTCTCTAAAGCAGAAATGATGCTGTGGAATTTATCAGGACAACCTTTATAATCACCGATTAAGGTGAATTG